CTTTACCCATATCAAATCTGAATGTAGATGGATTCACAGATTACAGGTACAGTAACTACTTTTCAAGGCCTTAATAATAAAAATAGTTTGTTCCATTTTTATATAATGGTTAATTTGGGTTGTTAGTATTGAGGTCTTTATGTTAATAATTTTTTCCTTATATATTCATATTTGTTATTGATTTATATGATTATTAATACGAGGGGTGTTCAATTCAAACAGAGACCTTTGAGTTTATATACAGTGTTAAAAGAACAAATTTTGAGGAGTGGAAACTGCATTTGTTTTTTCACATACTCCCTTGCTATGACATACCAGTACATTGCTGGATGGGAAGTTTAAAATCATGCTCTTTTTACTTGTAAGATTTCTTTAACCCCTTAACACCGCACCTCCTGGCCCTTTAAAAGGTTTTTGATGCCAGGAGGCGGGGTAGGCTTAATAATCATGTGACTGTCATGATTGGCTGTCAGAGCAGTCACATGATCGGAAAGCTCACAGTCGCTAATAGGTTTCTATATATATATAAAAAATGCAGTGCTAAAAGGTATATACTCCAATGAAAGTACGCCAATAAAATATTCCAATAAAATCCAATAAAGTACTCTAATATATTAAAATCAATGTATACTCCAGTCCGGATAAAAGTGATATAAGGAAAATTGATGCATTAATAAAATGGTGACAATTCGTGACAAGTGATTCAATACAGGAGTTGTTTGTGACTTCTTGATCCAGTGGTCTGGTGATAAATAGAAGAAATACTCACTCACCAGATGCGTATTTATAATACGCATGTAATAAATAAACCAGAGGTCCCCCTCATGAGATGTGATGGACGAGCTGGACCATCTTATCGGACTCTCCTTCCTCTGGGTATAGGGCAGCCACAACGTTGTCTCCCTCTGGGAACTAGACAAGGTACTGGCAGCTTACATCAGGGCGTGCGTCATCCTTAGGAATGTTTCACGTATCACAAACTCCTGTTGCTTGGGCTCTGAATGTATTTCTTCTATTTATCACCAGACCACTGGATCAAGAAGTCACAAACAACTCCTGTATTGAATCACTTGTCACGAATTGTCACCATTTTATTAATGCATCAATTTTACTTATATCACTTTTATCCGGACTGGAGTATACATTGATTATAATATATTAGAGTACTTTATTGGATTTTATTGTAATATATTTATTGGAGTACTTTCATTGGAGTATATACCTTTTAGCGCTGCACTTTTTTATATATATATCTCTATATTTATGAGGTTTATGTTTTGGTTGCCTTACGTGCTATAGCTGCTATTATCTGAAGCGCTCACTGATGATTCCATTTATCCTATATGCTACTAGGTTTCCATTCTGCCCAGGCAACTGTGCCAGGAGAAGAGGAGATTAAGGGGGGATATGATCAACACGTATAAATACATCAGTGGTTCATATAGTGAACTCGGTGTAGAGCTATTCACCCTGAGGTCATCACAGAGGACAAGGGGGCACTCTTTACGTCTGGAGGAAAAGAAATTTAATCTCCAAACACGGAAAGGTTTCTTCACAGTAAGAGCTGTGAAAATGTGGAATAGACTCCCTCAAGAGTTGGTTCTGGCCAGCTCAGTGGATTGCTTTAAAAAAGGCCTGGATTCTTTCTTAGATACACAGAATATAACTGGATACTAACATTTATAAGTAAAGTTGATCCAGGGAATATCCAATTGCCTCTCGGGGGATCAGGAAGGATTTTTTTTCCCTGCAGTAGCAAATTGAATAATGCTTTGCTGGGTTTTTTTGCCTTCCTCTGGATCAACTGTGGGTATAGGATGATAACTTTTTTTTTTTTTTAATGGTTGAACTGGATGGACTTTTGTCTTTTTTCAGCCAGACTAACTATGTAACTATGTAACATGCAACTATAATCCTCTATATGGGGATTTTATGTCATTATCTTAAAATATATGATTTCTATATTATAATGTGATACAAGGCATTTTTTGGCTCAGGCTGTTCCCATTTGTTTGTTTGGTAAGGCCCCCTCCTCTGTAGTAAATATGCTGGATGACTGGATTTATTCATTGCTGAGAGTGCTGCCTTGTTTATAATGAATATAAGTGAAATATATATATATACTGTATATATACAGTCTATATATATATATATATATATATATATAGTATATGAAAATATTTTGTTATTGCTGTTCAGGAAGCAGGTATTTTGGCACTGATACAAAATTGTAAATGTTATTTTGATATTATTTGATACAAATATACTGTGATTTGCATTGAAGATTAGTGTCCAGAATTAATCCTGAAGAAATGAGCGTTAACCCCAGAAATGCATTAAATTTTGAATACTCTGATACCAATTTGAAATAAATAATGGAAATATGTATTGCGAATTAACCAATAAAGTTAAATATGAGTATTGGGATATGTGGGGTAATTTGATGTATATGAAGTTTATATGTATGTGGAACAGTATATAACTTGTATTATATGTCCAATATTTCTAATGATATGAATAAAATATGTTATTTTACATAACATTGGTATGCGCTGGCACCTTTAAAGTCCTGCAGCTTTTCTCTGTTAGAGTCTTTATATATATATATATATATATATATATATATATATTTATTAAATTTAGGGCATTGTACCTTTAATATCATTATAGATATTGATACTCTTCTTTATTCTTATTTTCAATTTAATGTATTACTCATTGACACTTGCAGACTATCTAAATGTGTCATTCTACAGAGCATCAGCTGCATTTTGTAATACATAGAGTTTTGAGAGCCAATAATTGCCTGTAATAGTGACGGGGGGGGCAGTGGCAGGGAAAGAGGAACCAAGCATTAACGATATGTCCTATGAATTGTAAGGTTTTTAGGACATATCTCCTACTCTTACATTTTTCACGTTACTTTACTGATATCCTGTTGAATTTTTACAGACTGTTTTAGCCAGTATATGCCTTATATGCGGGTTGAATGCAGTTGGAACCACATCCAATCCGAATGACATGTGAAATAACATTGCTTCCTATGGTGCCTGTTCACATATGTCTGGTGCATTGGCAGTACGGATTCACGGCGGTCTGAAAAAGAGTCATGTACGATTTTTGAGCGGTACCTTCAGGTTCAGGAGTGGATTACAGGCTATTGACTTCTATGGGAACCGTTTCTAAACTGCATATGTGTGAACAGGATAAGATCCTGATCTAATCCTGTCCTGAACCTGATGTAAACCTGACCTGAACCGCGGAACAACTACTGTATCAATTAGCTGTGCAACCTGAGCTTCAATTTGCACAGCACAAGTGTGAAACAGCTCTTATACATTTCAAAACATTTAGCAACCCTGGGGCATTAGGAGTTTTATTTTTAACATCTGCTTAAGCTAAATTTTGCAAAATATAGGAGGTTTCAAAGGAAATGTACTTGAGCACATGCTTGCAAAAAAAAAAAAAAGTATTTGCTACTTTAGGAAAACAAAATACTTACACAATAAAATGAAATATTATGTTAGCTCAACACTAAAATTATCCTGGGTGTCACACATTGCATATCCTACCTGCATGATGCAGGTTTCAAAACATGAAAACTTTGTTATATACCATTTTGTAGATGTTTTTCAGCAGCCATGTAACTGATATAGCATAGCTTGTGTGCCTGTGGGGACTGTGGATTCCACTGCACAGTCACAGACCTCAAATATCATGCTGATTTGCAGTTGTGTAGCAACTTGATAAGAAACTCCTGTCCACCAAGCATGAAAGAGTAGTGAGGAGATATGGGCCGGTGGGGCATAGCACTGACTACAGGCACACTGTGAAATTTATTTACTAAAGCTAGTTCACTCAGAATCTCGTGCACGCAGAAATCAATCAGCTTTCAGGTTTTATAGCTAAAGCTTAATTGAACAAGCTGAGGCTAGAAGCCGATTGGCTACCATGCACAGGTGCACCAGATTCTGGGTGAACCAGCTTTAGTAAATAATCCCCTGTGTCTAAGCACGGTCATCCTGTAGTCAGAATATAGGAGTGCTCACAGAGGACTGCCCAATCTACCCCATCTATCGGACTCTGTGGATTGTGTTGTTACCTGTCACTAGAAAGATGCATATGCTGGCAGGATCAACAGGTATTCCGTGCTAAACAGTGCAGCGCATAAAAAATCTATCAGAGTAAATGGTGTACCATTTGGGAAGTAACCAGGAAGAACGAGAGAAAACATCTGAGGGGAGGTTGTTGAGAGGAGCCCGAGTGGTGTGACTTTATTGCTGGATGCGGGACACAAAGAGCTGGCTTCACCCTGGAACATCTCTTCTCAGGGTTCCTACAAGACTGGTAAAGTCGCTGGAGAGCGGATGACATAGATCTCATGGTTAGGATATACATGCTACTGACCAAGCAGCTTTCTGGTGAGTGCGTAGTGGTGGAGGACCTTGCACTGGATAAAGAGCATTTGGTGGGATTGAACACTGTTTGTCTTGATTGGCATCACAAGCATACAGAGTCATAATGGAAGGACTACCGTATTTTTCATTCCATAAGACCCACCTTTTTCCCCAAAAAAAATTTGGGACAATGTATGTGCATCTTATGGAGCGAATATGGAGCGGCCGGCCCGGTATTCCCACAGCCGCCGTGTTAGAATACCGGGCCAGCCGCTCGGCTCTTTTGTGCAGCAGAACCTGCTCATCGGTCCTACCTGTTCCTTGATCCAGCGGTGTCCTCACAGTCTTCTCTCCCTGGTGCAGTCATCTTTATTGTGGGAACCCAGCTGTGACAGCTTGCGGCTTCACAGCCGGGTGCCCACTGTGCATGTGCGAGAAGCGCTGCACTTTGTGAATGGTCCGGAAGTCTTCTGGGACCTGTCACGTGTCCCAGAAGACAGGGAAGGAGGACAGCTCTGTGGAAGTGGGAGCGGGTAAGTGTCAAATTCAGGTACCCGCTCCACCACCTTTCTGCTCCCAAAGACCTGCAGTCTCTGGTCATCTCCTGTACTATGTCCGCAGTCTCTGGTCATCCCCTGTACTATGTCCACAGTCTCTGGTCATCTCCTGTACTATGTCCGCAATCTCTGGTCATCTCCTGTACTATGTCCGCAGTCTCTGGTCATCTCCTGTACAAGTTCCGCAGTCTCTGGTCATCTCCTGTACTATGTCCGCAGTCTCTGGTCATCTCCTGTACTATGTCCACAGTCTCTGGTCATCTCCGGTACTATGTCCGCAGTCTCTGGTCATCTCCTGTACTATGTCCGCAGTCTCTGGTCATCTCCTGTACTGTGTCCGCAGTCTCTGGTCATCTCCTGTACTATGTCTGCAGTCTCTGGTCATCTCCTGTACTATGTCCGCAGTCTCTGGTCATCTCCTGTACTATGTCTGCAGTCTCTGATCATCTCCTGTAGTATGTCTGCAGTCTCTGGTCATCTCCTGTACTATGTCCACAGTCTCTGGTCATCTCCTGTAGTACGTCTGCAGTCTCTGGTCAGCTCCTGTAGTGCATCTGCAGTCACTGGTCATCTCCTGTACTATGTCCGCAGTCTCTGGTCATCTCCTGTAGTACATCTGCAGTCTCTGGTTATCTCCTGTAGTACATATGCAGTCTCTGGTCATCTCCTGCAGTATGTCCACATCTCCTGTAGTATGGCAGTCTCTGGTCATCTCCTGTAGTACATCTGCAGTCTCTGGTCATCTCCTGTAGTATGTCTGCAGTTTCTGGTCATCTCCTGTGCTACGTCTGCAGTCTCTGGTCATCTCCTGTACTATGTCTGCAGTCTATTGGTTCAGAATATTTTTTTTCTTGTTTTTCCTCTCCTCTAAAACCTAGGTGCGTCTTATGGTCAGGTGCATCTTATGGAGCGAAAAATATGGTATATTGTATAAAATTCTGTTGTTGGTTGTACCGACTGTACACTTTTGGATATAGTTTATCTTGTTTTAGTTATTGATTTGGTACAGCATTTACTCTGATAGATTTTTTATGTGCTGCACTGTTTTGCTATTTACTTTAGTTTTGAAATGTTGTCATTTTCTTTTTGTGCCAGCTGCTTCCAACTCTGTAGCGCCCGCCGTTTATCTTTGAATATGTATTCCTATCTGTTGTTATCACCCATGCAAAAAAAAAAAAAGTTTGGAAAATGATGAAAGGGACCATTGTGAGGCAATTCAGTTTTTAGATTTTCGAAACGCAATAATAATAATCATAATGCTATGCTTCAATCTGCATTGCAGTTGTTCTTTTGTAATTAAAAAATACAAACAAATGCCAGTTGGCTGGAACATTTACAGTGAACATGCTGGGAATAATTTTATAAACTGAAACAGACATTTCCAAAGTCAGTCTTACAATCCTACAATATGCGGTCAAGTCATGCCTATTAACACATCACATCTCTAATGTCAAAACTCTGCCATTTATTTTGTACCCGGTACAATTGAATCGGCATGATTGAGTGACATGAGACACTGGCACTGCTTTAGGACAAGCACACTGAATTATTCATCCAGGAAAAAAAAGAAAAAAAACTATACACAATATCAAGAGCAGCCTGGCTCTTTCAAATAGTTTACGCCAACATGATATTGTTTCTGTTCTGCTAAACTTTGTCAGTTCATGCTGAGTGAATTGATGGGAAGTTGGAGGTGATCCTTATTTTAGCAGTGGAGAATCTGAAACCACAGCAAAATGGAATCTGCGCCATCCAAGATGAATACGCAAGGTCAAAACTTTCAGGCTCTGCTGTCTGTGTACTCCATTCAGCATGAGGATGTCTCCACACAGACAGACCAGCATTATTAATGATTCAAAGTCCATTATTCAAACATTTTACAGCAGCAATCTTTCCAGATGTTTGATGTATACTGAGATCTGAGTTGACATATATGAAGCAATGAGGGATATAGAAAAGCTGCAGGGGGTGCTGATTAAAGTGGGGTATTTACAGTATAATAGCCTGGACCCTCTTTAACAGTTGTGCACGCCCCGTCTAGACAGAGCCATCACAGTGCTTCTAATCTGTTGTATGGTATGGTAGCATTAACCAGCTGAGAGGGAAAACGATATAGTAAACATCTCCCTTTATTCTAGCTCATCTATTTCAATTCAGTTTCTCTTTCAGCAAGTGCCTATTACTTTATCCCATCATGCATGCTAAATGCATGCGTAATAATTAGGTCCAAACAGCAGACAAGCCTAACTTGGTGCAATAATCTTGTACATTCAATGCATGCAGCGCTGTCATCATTTCTTCCCAGAGAGAGCTTTCCTCTCCAGGGAGCTCTAATGCAATATTTATCCGAAAGCGTAATGCAGCTAAGCTCCATTATAGTCATGCAAACGGACTGTAAGGCACCTGTAAATAATGCACAAATAGATCAATACTAATTTCAAATGTTTCGATGCACTTTAAATTGACTGTGTTCTTACAAATTCCATCATATCTTTCGTGTTAGAGCTTTTAGATTCTGTCAGATGGGCAAAGAACATTGTGAAATATTCTTTCAGTTGTCTATGTTGTGAGGTTGCAGAATTTTATAGAAACTGCTGAAGTTTTGCATATTTTAGCTTTATAAGTTGATGATATAGCTATACTTGATAGGCATTTTCCAAGGCTTTGCAGATTACTACTCGCTATTGTGCAGGTTTTTAATTTTTTATTCTAAAGAACATGTTAATTTTGAAAGTGATTATATTGTAAAGTGCTGCGTAAACCGTTGGTTCTATATCTATCATGTATAATAATAATAATAATTAAGTCTAAGCACTAAATTTCTATATAAGCTTTAATGTGTTAATGTAGTTTCAAAAGTCATTAATTAACAGCTTCAAGTCTTGTATCTGTATACCCTTTATGGATCAGTGCAATTGTTACATTTCTATTGTGGACCTGTTTATTTGGTGATAGCTGTATCCTTACTCAATGGTGTTCTAAAGCCTAAAACATTGTTTACCTTAATGCAGTTGTGGGCAACTGCGGCCCTCCAGCTGTTGTGGAACTACATGTCCCATGAGGCATTGAAAGACTGACAGTTGCATCATGACTCCCAGTGGCAGAGGCATGATGGGACTTGTAGTTCCACAACAGCTGGAAGGCCACAGTTTGCCCACCCCTGCCTTAATGCATTCACTTAATTAAGGTAAAAACATGTTTCGGCAACAGCATCGCCCCCTTACCCACCTCACCATACTTACCTGAGCCCTCCCCCCCGTACTTACTTGAGCCCTCCCCCATACTTACCTGAGCCCTCCCCCCCGTACTTACTTGAGCCCTCCCCCATACTTACCTGAGCCCTCCCCCCCGTACTTACTTGAGCCCTCCCCCATACTTACCTGAGCCCTGACCCTGATGAAGTCACGACGCACGTGACGCAACGCGTCGGTTTGTCTACTTCCTGGTGACGTATGTCCGGACACAGTGGCCATATTGGATTCCCCCAGGTGCATGCATATCTACCCACAGGCTGGGAAAAACGCTTGTTTATGGAAAGGAGCATGTGAGTGGTTTACTTTGTCACTTTTTACTTTGCCTATTAAAACTTACTACACTATGGAAGGCTTTCTTATCTTTTTATGAGTTGCATAAGAGAGGAGGAGGATTAAGGAGTCTGCCAGAGGAATACACCACTGAGGTGGTAACTGCTTTGAGGCCCTGTGTGGGTCGAGGAAGGGAGGCTTTCTTATCTTTTTATGAGTTGCATAAGAGAGGAGGAGGATTAAGGAGTCTGCCAGAGGAATACACCACTGAGGTGGTAACTGCTTTGAGGCCCTGTGTGGGTCGAGGAAGGGAGGTGAGCAGGCATTGCTGCCATTTGAAGGAGAGTACTTGCACTTAGAAGTGGAGATCACGTGTGTGTTCCAGCTTAAAGCACAGTCACATGCATGGAATATTTTTTCACCTTTGATATTGTCTTTTTCACTTATGGCATATATTAGTTATGTTTGATTTAGACACCATTGTATGTGGCCAATTATTCTGTTTTCATGTATATATACTTTGTTTAGTATATCTGATTTATGCACTACTTATTTAGGTTCTTAATGTGTGATATTTAGCCATTATAGTCATTTCGGTTGACATTATTTTTTCTATCCACTAGAGGGAGTTCACATATTTTTTAATATATATCGTGGTCACTTTGATTTACTATTATACTTTATGGAGACACATGATTGTATTCATGAGATACAAGCGCTTCACTAATTTTATGTTTATTTCTTGCACTTATTGGTATTAGTTAAAGTGACAGCAGCTGTATTGTGTCAGTTATTCCCATGAGCGCAGGAGGATCCCATACTATTCGGCAAAAGCATCGCCCCCTTACCCACCTCACCATACTTACCTGAGCCCTCCCCCCCGTACTTACTTGAGCCCTCCCCCATACTTACCTGAGCCCTCCCCCCCGTACTTACTTGAGCCTTCCCCCATACTTACCTGAGCCCCCCCCCGTACTTACTTGAGCCCTCCCCCATACTTACCTGAGCCCTCCCCCCCATACTTACTTGAGCCCCCCCCCCATACTTACCTGAGCCCTCACTCAATCCAGGGCTGCAGTGGATCTCCCCATTCTCACAGGCTTTGCTGTCAGTCAAATCCTGTGATGAGGGAGAAGCAGGCAGGGCCAATCTAATACTATCTATGTCTATGGATGCAGGTGGTACCTGATGGAAAGTGGATAATCATCTCCACACCACTCACAGTGTCCCTCATCAAAGCCACAACAGTCACAGTGTCCCTGGTCACTACCACACAAGTCCCAATGTCCCTGGTCATTGACATACCAGTTCTAGTGTCCCTGATCCCTGACACACCACTCGGTGGGGTTTATTTACTAAAGCTGGTGCACTCAGAATCTCGTGCACTTCTGCACAGAAACCAATCAGCTTCCGGGTTTTATTTCTAAAGCTTACTTGAACAAGCTGAGGTTAGAAGCTGGTTGTTTACCATGCACCAGATGCTGAGTGAACCAGCTTTAGTAAATCTCCCCCACAGTGTCCCTAATCACTGCCACACCACTCACTGTGTCCCTTAACATTGATGCACCAGTCCAAGTGTCCCTGATCACTGCTATACTAGTCATAGTGTAACCATAAGGACTTGTTCACTTATGAAATGCTGTCTGAAGAGCAATGTGTGTTTTAATAGCTTTTCAAAGAGCATTTAACAGTTGGAAAGGAGCCTCCCTACCACCTGTTTTAACCCTTTGGACCCCACAATAGCAGCCCCATTAACTTGAACAGGTTGTGATTGGTGAGGGTACAGGAGGTAGAATTCCTGCTACAGCTGCGAAGCGAAGCATCTCAGTTTCAGCATGTGAACACTCTCAGCCACTATGTCTGCAGCCAGAGTAGGTATCAGTGAAGGGGCAGTAAAAGCAAGGTTTTACTACCCCCCAACATCATGTGT